TTGCACCAGCACTGCAGGAGAGCTCGCAACTTCAGCCTCAATTTGCGTACATTAGGCAGAGGGGGGTGCGGGACGCCGTCGCGAAAGCATGTCAGCACCTTGATTTCGTGCAGCAGCTCCGTCAAGTGCATCGCAGGGACCTGCACAAGTCCCAACGCGGAGCCAGGCAGGCTCAGCTGTCAGGGGCACTTACTATTTCGGTTGATCTGAGCAAAGCTTTTGATTCTGTTAATAGACATGAGCTGCTAGCTGCCTTGGATCGCCTGGGAACAGACCCTGTTACGAAAGAACTGGTAGTTCAACTACACAGTGAGACCTCCTACAACATGGGCACAAGTGGACTAGAGATTCAAGTTCCCACTTCTTCAGGAATCAAACAAGGTTGCAAGCTAGCCCCGGCATTGTGGTCTGCGCTGACACTTCTAGTCATGAGCAGAATGGAGCAGAAATGGGGCCCAGATAGCAAGCAAGCTAGGGACATCCTAACAGTCTTTGCAGACGATTTCCTGATCCAGGAAACCTTCTCGAGCTTTCCTGAACTTCAGAAAGTCCTGCTCAGAATAGAGGCTCTCTTTCAGTCTCTTGAGGACGTGGGGCTGGAAGTCAATCCAACGAAGTCCAAAGCCTTGCTAATGGTTCAGGGCACTCAGCAGTCCATCTTTCGCAAGAAGCACACGATGCGCAAAGAGAAGCAGTTGCACATCGTCCTTCCCTCAGGACATAAGATTCCGATTCATCACAAACTAACATATCTAGGGGTGCAGCTCAGCTATGGATCCTACAAAGACCAGACGGTTGACTATAGGATCGCCCAAGCTCAAGGCAAGTTTGAGCTACTTCGACACATCCTGTGCTCCACTAAGGCCTTGGAGGCTTCAAAGAAGTTGGAGATCTGGAGGGTCTATGTGGAATCCTCACTCTTGCATGGGCTTGTGGCCACTGGCATCACCTCATCAGGTCTTCAGAAGCTTCAGAGTAAATACTCGAGGATGCTAAGATCCATCTTTAAGCAACATCAGCACTACAGCCATATTGACACGAAGACTCTGTTCGAGCAATATAAGGTTCAGACTCCTCAAGCAGTTTTGATCAGCCAGATGAAAAACTATCAAGACGCACTAGATGCCTGTCAGAAGTCCAACCCGGATCAGAACATACAGTGGCATCTGGGACTTAGAGGTAGGATTGTTGCGCTGCAACAGGAGCTTCAGAGCATGCATTTGGACCTGATCGAGGCAGACCAGGAGGTACCGTGCTCTCTGTGCGATCGGAAATTTTCCAGCGCTAAGGGTCTTCAGCAACATACTCTGGTGAAGCATGGAGGACAGCGTGCGAATCAGCTAGGCCCAAAATTTCAGGTCACTGTGCATGCTGCAAAGGACTTCCGCAATGTGCGGCATGCAACAGGCAGTTGCGCACAATGCATCAACTTCGCAGACATGTGGAGTCAGGCATTTGCCCTCAGCTGCACGAGCTCAAAGAACGAGCCAAATCCTGTACAAGCTCAGAAAGCATAGCTATGATCTATCAGTCTAGCGTGCAGGAACAACTTAAGAAGGATCCTGATCTTCTACTAAAAAGAGACATGTCACTCAGCATCTATTAACGAACTGCAGTCTCTGTGGGCAATACATTGTTGGCCACAAAGGAGTGAAACAGCACATTCAGAAAGCTCATCCCGCTTTCTGGGCACAATCCTCGGCATCCATTCTTGCCAACATGCGAACACATAAGCGCCTCCTGCCCAAAAAAGAAGAATGTAGGTATTGTCGCATTGTGGTAGATGCTCCAGTACGCCATGCAGAGCAATGTGTGGTTCTGCTTCAGACATACGCCATGAGTGCAGCTTGTGCCAAGCCTATGGAACTGCCAGATCTCTTCAGTGCAGATCCTCCAATTAGCCAGGTGAGAGGAAGGGAGGCTTCCTCCCAGGAGGCTTCCTCCACCAGTAGGATTCGGTCTCACCAGGCACCAGCAAGCTCCCAGCGAGACGCACCAGCAGAGGGGAGACCTTCGTCAGTGCCCGTCACAGCCTGGTCGCTGGCCTATCATAATCCGCATCAACTGTGCTATGCACACACAGTAGTGCATATCCTTGCCTCGCTTGCATCAGAGGGTATTCTTTCTGATCCATATCTGAGACAAATATTGACGGAAATTGACGCAGTAGGGGGTCGTTCTTCTAGTGTGGATGTTCGTAGGCTGCGACAGCTACGTCCTCTGCTGACGGGATGGCGATTCAGACCCAGGCAAGAAGATGCATCCCAGTTTCTAGCACATATCATTCAGAGATCCCAAGTGCTTTCAGCAGATGTTTGGGAAGCGAGGGTTCAAATCACAGCACCCGTGGAAAGAATCAGCGTAGAGGATAGAGGGGGTTTGATTCTTTTCTTGCCTGACCCACCAGATGGCCTCTCCACACTACAGCAAGCCATTTCTCAGTGGGCGCACAGGGGGAGCACCTATGGGCTACTGCCGGGAGTGAACCTGGTTTGCATTCAGATCCAAAGGTTTGAGCACTTGGAGAAAACAAATCGGCCTCAAGTTTTAGACACAACTCTGGAGCTTCCAGAGTTTATAGATAATGGCACGACAACCGCTGTGGTCAGCTTTCGACTATATGCATTCATCATTCATCTAGGAGAAGATTGGAGAACTGGGCATTATAGGACAGGTTTTTTGAGAGAAGAAGTGGCGTATCTCGCAGATGATGACCGCGCACCACGGCGAACTACGCTCCTCTCGGATCAAATTTGCCAGGGATCGTATTTGGCTTTCTACGTAAGGGTCTAGCTCGCTCTACCTTCGCTTGCGGAGGTTTCCTCCGGAGGCTTCCTCCGCAGCAGTGTTCTTTCTTCTTAAAGTAGACCTATCTGCCTGCTGTTGCCTAAGGCAACTCGGCATGAACGCTGCCCTGCGCGCAATAAAGCCATGATCTCGTGCTAAGATGTATAGTCTCTTGCGTGAAACTTTCACATGCGGAGGTTTCCTCCGGAGGCTTCCTCCCCGGTAGTGTTTCTCACAGTAGACCGTTCTGCCTGCTGTAGCTTAAGGCCAAGCTGACCCATTCTTGTCCCTGAACCTGAAGCATCTGAAAGAGCCCTGCGCGCACTTCAGAACATGTGAGGTCTCCTCCAGGTCGGTGGGTTCAGATTAGGGTCACTTTTTTGGATGCAACCTTGCCTTGTCGCAGCGCTGGCCCCGAGAGCCGTGCAAGGTGTCCCAGGTCAGGTGCTTCCCTCTTCGCAAAGTACTCGTGCCTATGCGAGACCTCCTCGTCAAGTTCGGTCAGTTGGGGTCACATTTTCTCGACCAGGAATGCAATTTGCCCTGTCGCAGCGCTGGCCCCAGGAGCCGCGCAAGGCGTCCCAGGTCAGGCTTCGCAAACTTAGCTACCCTGCCTCCAACTTGGGCATCCTTCTTGGAACGTGCAAGGCCGCCTTGGTGCGCTCTGCCAGAGGTACGGCTCGCTAAACAGCTTGTGCGTGGGTGCTGGACGCAGTGACTCACAGTAGGGTGTCGGGGTAGCCGCGCTTATTTTTCACTCTTTTGCAGTGCTGAGTACTTGATATCGGAGGCTGCCTCCGTGCCAACTTCAATCTCTTCAATTTCTTCATTGATTCATTGCATCAGATTAGGAGGTTTCCTCCTGAATATCCTTAAGTACTCTGCCAAAGCAGATTCAGTATAGCAGGTAGTGAGACCTGGCAATCTGGAGGAAGCGATCCTCTCGAAGTCCAAAAGGCCGGACTGTGAAATAAAAAAGGCGGGTGAGACCTTCTAAATCACACTTGCCCGCCTTAAACACACCAAACTCAGCTAGCGCACAGCTCTAGCCTGCAACACAACATCGGGGCCAGCCGGCACTGCAGCAGTCGCGGGTGCAGGTGAGCCAGTAGGAAGCGGTCGTAGGGTGCCCAGCCAGCACAGCGCTATCGCAGCCCTGAGGGGCGGATGCATTCCACATAATCGAACATAGCTGTGCGCAACAATCTTTCAGCAGCCCTGAGGGGCGTGAAGTACGAACTAGCAAAGACTGCTGGAGCTCCCAAGGCGGATACAGAGTAGCCGACGTGCCGAGGATCCAAAGTGATCAGAGGTCCACATGCTGATTCTGGCAGTGAGTGCAATGCAAAAATGTTGTTGTTGTTGTTGTTGTTGTTGTTGTTGTTGTTGTTGTTGTTGTTTGGTGTTGTTTTGTTGTTGGTGTGTTGTTTTTGTTGTTTGGTGTTGTTGTGTGTTTGTGTGTTGTTGTTGTTGTTGTTGTTGTTGGTGTTGTTGTTTTTGTTGTTGTTGTTTGTTTGTTGTTGTTGTGTTGTTGTTGTTGTTGTTGTTGTGTTTTTTGTGTTGTTGTGTGTTGCTTGTTGTTTGGTGTTGTTTTTGTTGGTGTTGTTTTTGTGGTTGTTGCTGTTGTTGCTGTTGTTGTTGTTGTTGTTGTTGTTGTTGTTGTTGTTGTTGTTGTTGTTGTTGTTGTTGTTGTTGTTGTTGTTGTTGTTGTTGTTGTTGTTGTTGTTGTTGTTGTTGTTGTTGTTGTTGTTGTTGTTGTTGTTTGTGTTGTTGTTGTTGTTGTTGTTGTTGTTGTTGTTGTTGTTGTTGTTGTTGTTGTTGTTGTTGTTGTTGTTGTTGTTGTTGTTGTTGTTGTTGTTGTTGTTGTTGTTGTTGTTGTTGTTTTGTTGTTGTTGTTGTTGTTGTTGTTGTTGTTGTTGTTGTTGTTGTTGTTGTTGTTGTTGTTGTTGTTGTTGTTGTTGTTGTTGGTGTGTTGTTGTTGTTGTTGTTGTTGTTGTTGTTGCTGCTGTTGTTCTTGTTGTTGTTGTTGGTGGTGTTGTTGTTGTTGTTGTTGGTGGTGGTGTTATTGTTCTTGTTGTTCTTGTTGTTGCTGTTGTTGTTGTTGTTGTTGTTGTTGTTGTGGTGTAAGATTCTGGCCCAAGATGAGGATTTTATTTCTCGTAGCCGTAGCGAGCTTTCTTGGGTGCCTGGGTCCCAAGTCCCAGGGTCCAGCCATGGATCAGAATCGAGGGTTTCGGGAAGTAGCGCCCCCCGATGAAGCTGAGCAGCATGCGCAGCGAAGTCAGCTAACCATGAACAAAACCGGCAAGCGAAGCTACCAAAGAGCTTGTAAAGTTGCCCTGGCGAAGGGAGCAGCACTTTACAAAGGCCGTCTTCTGACAGCTCAGGCTCTAGGAGCTCATGAAGGACAATTCGCGTCTCCTGCGAAAGCGGAGAGGCGTTCTTTTCAACCGAACAGACAGATCCATCACAAATTTGACATGGAAGTCCTTACTTGGAACGCAGGCTCAATTACAAGCCGAGTTTGGAACGAGATTCTGGCCCTTTTGGCAACAACAGAGTACAAGAACATCAAAATCGTTTTCCTGCAGGAATCGCATTGGCAGCAGGACCAGATCTACAGCTCAGGCCCGTGGTCAGTTCTAACCTGTGGCTCAACAAGCAGACACAAGGCTGGCCTGGTTGTCTTGGTGCATAGCTCACTGGCTCCTCTTTCAGAAATTCGCAGCACTTCCATAGTTCCAGGGCATTTGCAGCACGTCATGATCCCGTGGCAGAGATCCAGAATACATCTCCTGAACCTGTACCAGCACGTCTGGGATTCAAAGCTCTCGAAGACGGAAAACAGAGGCAGGAGAAAGGACGTGATGACACAGCTCGAAAATCGAATACAGAGAGTCCCACAACGTGACTTCTTGATTGTGGCTGGGGATTTCAACGCGCATGCGGTGACTGAACGTCCTCATATCGGACCAAGTGTGCCTCATCGAGTACGGTTTGCAAATGCGGATGTGAAGACACTGCCCTCGCTCTGCAAATCCTGTGGACTAACTGCGCTGAACACATGGGCTTCTGGCCATCGCAGTACGTATGCTAACAGTGATGGCACATATTTCTCTCAGATCGATTTTTTGCTGGTCAGACTGCACGATGCTCGGAGGAGATCCAAGGAGGCCTACTCGGATAAGAACTTTCCTGTGGCTGCCTACAGAGATGGATCAAAACACTTTCCAGTGCGAGCCACTCTGTTCATTCCTCCTTACAGTCCTACACCCAGCAAGCCACGGCCGTTTGATGCCACAGCCCTGGATGCGAGCTTTCGGCGGAAAGATGACAACTGGCAGGCATTCTCACATCGTCTGACGGAAGCAGTGGTGAGGACAATGCAAGTGAGACCGTCTTGGCAAGAACTGGATGAAGTGATGGTTCGTGTATCAGCTGAGCACTACCCTCCACCACGCAAGTCTCAGCCAGCAGCAGGTCCAATCCATCAGGAATATTGGAAGAAAGTGCGGCAAATCCAGGCGCACAAGAGGGCTGGAACCGAGCATAATTCTGAATGCCAGAAGCTTGTGGAGGACATCAAGGAGGAGGCGCGGACTTTCAAAAAACAGCAAAAACAAAGAAAGCTAGAGAAGCAAGAGCAGTTGCTTCTACAAGCCCAGGAAGATAAAAGGCAACAATCCCACAAACTGGCTCATACTCTCAGGAAACTTGCTCCGTGGCGCCCAGTGCAGAGAGTCAACCTAAGGGATCAAGCAGGTGAGCCGCTTGATACGGAGGCCTCACTAAAAACTATGCGCGAATACTCGAGCCAAATCTTCTCCAAAAGTCCTCCTTTGCACTCAGTAGCTGCTGTGCCCAGAGCAGCGATCACCGCCTTGCAGGTATCCTCACAAATCAAGACAGTGCCAGTGGGGAAAGCAGTCCCCAGCACCTCAGCCCCAGTTTCAGCTTGGAAGAGTCTAGGTCCTGAAGCCCACGAACACATAGCAGGTCTAATCAACTCTGAGGTGTCCCATTCTGAAATTTCCCCTTATCTAAAGGACCCTCGCATTGCATGGATCCCCAAGCCGGGCAAGCCAGCCACCGCCATGAAAAACCTGAGGCCCATAGGAGTCATCAGCGTGCCAGGCAAAGTGCTAGCAGGCGCAGTGAAGCATTGCACCAGCACTGCAGGAGAGCTCACAACTTCAGCCTCAATTTGCGTACATTAGGCAGAGGGGGGTGCGGGACGCCATCGCGAAAGCATGTCAGCACCTTGATTTCGTGCAGCAGCTCCGTCAAGTGCATCGCAGGGACCTGCACAAGTCCCAACGCGGGGCCAGGCAGGCTCAGCTGTCAGGGGCACTTACTATTTCGGTTGATCTGAGCAAAGCTTTTGATTCTGTTAATAGACATGAGCTGCTAGCTGCCTTGGATCGCCTGGGAACAGACCCTGTTACGAAAGAACTGGTAGTTCAACTACACAGTGAGACCTCCTACAACATGGGCACAAGTGGACTAGAGATTCAAGTTCCCACTTCTTCAGGAATCAAACAAGGTTGCAAGCTAGCCCCGGCATTGTGGTCTGCGCTGACACTTCTAGTCATGAGCAGAATGGAGCAGAAATGGGGCCCAGATAGCAAGCAAGCTAGGGACATCCTAACAGTCTTTGCAGACGATTTCCTGCTCCAGGAAACCTTCTCGAGCTTTCCTGAACTTCAGAAAGTGCTGCTCAGAATAGAGGCTCTCTTTCAGTCTCTTGAGGACGTGGGGCTGGAAGTCAATCCAACGAAGTCCAAAGCCTTGCTAATGGTTCAGGGCACTCAGCAGTCCATCTTTCGCAAGAAGCACACGATGCGCAAAGAGAAGCAGTTGCACATCGTCCTTCCCTCAGGACATAAGATTCCGATTCATCACAAACTAACATATCTAGGGGTGCAGCTCAGCTATGGATCCTACAAAGACCAGACGGTTGACTATAGGATCGCCCAAGCTCAAGGCAAGTTTGAGCTACTTCGACACATCCTGTGCTCCACTAAGGCCTTGGAGGCTTCAAAGAAGTTGGAGATCTGGAGGGTCTATGTGGAATCCTCACTCTTGCATGGGCTTGTGGCCACTGGCATCACCTCATCAGGTCTTCAGAAGCTTCAGAGTAAATACTCGCGGATGCTAAGATCCATCTTTAAGCAACATCAGCACTACAGCCATATTGACACGAAGACTCTGTTCGAGCAATATAAGGTTCAGACTCCTCAAGCAGTTTTGATCAGCCAGATGAAAAACTACCAAGACGCACTAGATGCCTGTCAGAAGTACAACCCGGATCAGAACATACAGTGGTATCTGGGACTTAGAGGTAGGATTGTTGCGCTGCAACAGGAGCTTCAGAGCATGCATTTGGACCTGAGCGAGGCAGACCAGGAGGTACCGTGCTCTCTGTGCGATCGGAAATTTTCCAGCGCTAAGGGTCTTCAGCAACATACTCTGGTGAAGCATGGAGGACAGCGTGCGAATCAGCTAGGCCCAAAATTTCAGGTCACTGTGCATGCTGCAAAGGACTTCCGCAATGTGCGGCATGCAACAGGCAGTTGCGCACAATGCATCAACTTCGCAGACATGTGGAGTCAGGCATTTGCCCTCAGCTGCACGAGCTGAAAGAAAGAGCCAAATCCTGTACAAGCTCAGAAAGCATAGCTATGATCTATCAGTCTAGCGTGCAGGAACAACTTAAGAAGGACCCTGATCTTCTACTACAAAAGAGACATGTCACTCAGCATCTATTAACGAACTGCAGTCTCTGTGGGCAATATATTGTTGGCCACAAAGGAGTGAAACAGCACATTCAGAAAGCTCATCCCGCTTTCTGGGCACAATCCTCGGCATCCATTCTTGCCAACATGCGAACACATAAGCGCCTCCTGCACAAAAAAGAAGGATGTAGGTATTGTCGCATTGTGGTAGATGCTCCAGTACGCCATGCAGAGCAATGTGTGGTTCTGCTTCAGACATACGCCATGAGTGCAGCTTGTGCCAAGCCTATGGAACTGCCAGATCTCTTCAGTGCAGATCCTCCAATTAGCCAGGTGAGAGGCAGGGAGGCTTCCTCCCAGGAGGCTTCCTCCAGCAGCCGAGCTTCTTTGCTGACATACACTGCACGCGTCTCGGGTCGTTCAACCACTGCACCTCCCACAGCTTCCATGCAAGACGCTGCCTGGCGTCTAGCTTATCATAATCCGCATCAACTGTGCTATGCACACACGGTCGTTCATATCCTTATCTCTCTCTTGTCAGACGGACTGCTCCCAGATCCTTCTTTAAATTCCATCCTAACGGAAATAGGTTCCCTGAATGGCAGATCCTCTCATGCGGATGTTCGGAGGTTGCGACATCTTCGTCCGCTGCTAGCAGGATGGCGATTACGACCCAGGCAGGAGGATGCATCTCAATTTCTGTTGCATATCTCTCAGCGTATTCCAGATCTTTCATCAGATAAATGGGAGGCGCGAGTTCATATCTCAGCACCGGAGGAACGCATAAGTGTTGAGGAAAAAGGTGGCTTGATTCTGTATCTACCCGAGCCGCCGGATGGACTCTCGACTCTTCAGCAATCAGTAACACAATGGACGAACAGGGGTAGTGTGTTTGCCTTGCTTCCAGATACAAGACTCATTTGCTTACAAATTCAAAGATTTGATCAGCAAACCAAAACTTCCCGCCCACAAGCGCTGGACACAGTTCTTGAGATGCCAATGTTTCAAGATAACGGAACCTCAACAGAAGCAGTGTCCTTTAGCCTCTATGCATTTATCATTCATATCGGTGAAGACTGGAACTCTGGACATTACAGAGCGGGATTCTGGAGAGAGGGCGTAGCGTACCTAGCTGATGATAGTGAATCGCCAAGACGCACCATGCTCCTCTCGGATCAAATATGTCGAGGTTCTTACTTGGCCTTCTATGTACGAGTATAGATTCAGCTAGGTAGCCATGAGGCAGGCCTTTGCACAATCGTCAGCACCCTCCAAATCCAAGCGTGCGGATGAGCCGGATGAAGATGATTCTCCAACCAAGAAGATCAGACAGGCTGAACCGAAGAACCTGCCAAAGCAGAAAGCCAAAGGTAGGGGTCGGGGCACTGGCCGGGGCGCTTCAAATGAGAAAGTCCTACAGTCCCTAACCAGGCTGTCCATCAACCATGAGGACTCGCTGAATACACTTCAGCAGGAACTGAGCTGGGTCATGTACCTGACCACCGGTGAGCTGTCCATTCTACCGAACATCTATGCGGAGAAGTCCAAAGACGCTTCGAAGTTGTCTACTCCATTCAGAACTCGAGCCATGAGATTGGTCTTGGAGCAGACCTTAGAAAGAGTAGAGCAGATTCAGACTAAAGAAGAAGTGCTAGTGGATGCGGAGAAAGAGGGTTGGGTGGTACGTGTGAAGGACACCGAAGCTCCAGCCTTTGTCTACCAGCAGTGGAGCAGTGAGCAAGACAAGAGACACTGCTCGAAGGGCAGTCCCCGCAGAGGACGTCGTTCAATTGCTCAAAACGTGCTTGGAGCTTGCGCAGCACCCACAGTTGATCTCCAGGCTCATGCCCTCACGTCCGATCGTCGAGAAGATGACAGGTGGCCCAGTTCGAGTTCACATCCAGGTCCACCTCCAACATCTCAAAGGTAAGTTCCATCAAGCCCTGTCCGGACTCACGGACAATGCAGTCTGGGCAGCCATTGAAGGCTCACTAAGGCCAGGGAGCGTTCAGCGTAGTCCAGCAGCTAAGTCGCTTGCAAAGCAGGCATCCGGCAGCAGCTAGCTCATAGAGCACCTTCAGCTAGAGTAGATCCTTCCACATAGAGGCAAAAAAAAAAATTCTGCATTGCCTTCAATAAGCGCAGAATTGTCTCTCAGCTTGCCTTCCTCTCCCAGCAGCATCTGTATTTCTCCTATCACAGCAGCTTTTCTTGCTCGCGCAATCAATCCCATAGCTGGCTAGTAGAGAGCCAATGTCATACCGAGCTGAACGCATGTATGCCAGAGAGGGCTGGATCTTCACGGAGGCTGATCGAGTGGCACTTTGGGAGCTGGATACTGCGCTAAGTAAAGCCCAGAAGCTTATAGATGCTCAAGCTCACCTCATCGAGGAAATGCAACGGGATCAGGTCAGACTACATGGGCAGGTCCGGCAACTGAACGCAGAGGTGACTCAGCTCGCTCAGAGTGCACAGATCTATGGAGCTCACATCGAGCGTCTCTATCGTCTGTCCGACACCCAAGCTCTCTCTGAACGGATGGACTACTTGACCTGGACTCTTCATTACCAAGGCATCAGAGTCATGCTACCAGGACCATCGTCGAGCAGTGTGAGGCCAAGAGCACAACGGCGGCCTGCTCAGAATCCGTACTAGTACATAGCTTCCTAGATGGTCTGTATTAGAATCAGTCCTCGTGTGAGATGTCTTCAGCACCAGGGAGTCAAAAGCCTCCGCTATCACTGCATCATAGCCCAGCCTGTATGCGCGCACTCGCGTTGCATAGCTCGGGAGGCTTCCTCCGGAGGCTTCCTCCATGCTACGGTCGGCGGCCTACGCGTGTCAGAATTACAGCAAGTGCAATCACTCACCCTCTGAGAAGCAACCACTCCTTCCTTCTTAGGATATTTCTCCCCTGTCCGGGTTCTCTTTCAGGTTGGAGGATTTGAGAATAGCTTTCTCCTCTGTAGGGACACCCACCAGCTGCTTGGTTGAAGTTCGCTCATTGACCCAATGTAATGCCGAAGCTTCTCTCAAGCCAATAGGATCAGGCCCTCAACATGGAACGTGATTTGACGAATGATGAGTTTGAGGCTTTAAATAGAAGGCGAGAGCAACAAGGCAAGGAACCACTGAGCTGGCGGGACGCACAGCGCCAGGCCCGACAACAGAGGAGGCAAGAAGGCCAAAGCAGCTCCGTCCTCACAGCCTGTCACATTCCTGCCAAGAGCGGAGGCTTCCTCCGCGGAGGTTTCCTCCGAAAGAACTCCAGAACAAGCTGAATCCATTTCCTTTCTGGTTCCTGATTTTGATCAGAGGGCCAGTGGGCAGGCATCAGACTGGAACACCAGCACTCATGTCCAGAGCCGCTATGCATGGAACAAGCGTCACAAGGAGCGTGAACAACTGGATCCGACTAAGGATGTCATGGAGGAGGCCAAAATATTTATCCGCGCATTTCTGAGAACGCGTAAAGGTCCGAGCAACTCAGATTTGACTGCAAAGTTGGGAGATCCTGTCATGCAGGAAGACTGGGTGCGCTTCCCCCTAAGAGATGTTGTTCAGAGACGCACCGGCATGGATGACAGAGTGGGCTATCATGGGACAAAATTGGAATCGCTCTACTCGATCCTGTATTTAGGAAAGTTGCAACCGTCCCAGGATTCCTCTCAAGGAGAACAATATTTCGAGGGCTACCCAGGAGTCTACATCCATTCCGGCAGGCATGAGCGCAAGGCGGAGTCATATGTGACGCATGTGTGGTTTCCCATCTTGAAAGAAGGCAACAAGTCTCTCCGAGCAGTTGCGGCCAAATTAGCAGTGTCGTTCGACCAGGCTGCAGGATCTCTCCGTGGCTCCAAAGCAACGGATCAGTACATTCTAAGGGAAGACTACGTCCAGCTCGAGGCGCTGTTGCTTCACATCACAGACTCACTGCCTTTGGGGACCTATGTGCAGACTGGCTGGAACCCCCTTGCGGAAGCTGCCCCAATTCAACGCATAGCGAGGGAAAGACCGGAGGAGCCGAGTTCATACAGAAATCCACCAAGATCCTCCTCCCAACCTGCCAAGGAATCAGATGCCTTTCAAGATGATGATAACTCCACCTGGCAGGCCGCAGCTCTTCCTGGGAGAGGAAACAAGGCAATGGCCTCTGACCAAAGCGCTCTGCCGACCTCCTTGCATCAGTCCGAAGATGATAGTGATGAATCCTGGGGGATTTGGTCACCAGCTGCTGATTCCGCAGGCACAGATCCACAGGATCCATTTCAACAAGAAGTCCCACGGCATCAAGAGGGAGGCAGAAGAGAGCATGACTGGCAGCCAGCAACTCAGCACTCACCAAGTTTAGCAGATCTGGATGGTAATCTTGATCGGCTCTCTGGACGGGGCGCTCACGAAACCAGACGAGTGATGATAGGCAAGCTCCTCACACAGGCTCTCAGACATGACCCAGTGAAGTATGGCATTTCGCTAGACACTGCTGGCTATGCCAATCTGAAAAGCCTTCTTAATTCCAGGCAATTCTGGCGGGCTGAAGTGACAGCTCATGAAGTACAGCGAGTACTGGAAACCTCACAGAAGGTCCGCATGGAGCAGATGATCTCAGAGGAAGACGGTGAAATCTACATCAGAGCCTTACAGGGTCATGGTCGTGACATCCCACTGGACGATGATCAACTGCATGAGGTTCTGACCTCCTCAACAACACCGGAGTGGGGTGTCCACGGGACGAGCTGGCGGGCCTGGCAGCAGATTCGCTCCTCTCAGCTGCGCAGAATGCAAAGACGTGACATACATATGTCTTTGTCACCAACCAAAACTGCAGGATTCAGGGAGGACTCCTCAGTGGAGATCTGGATCCACCTGCCGTCTTTGATCGACAGTGGACACAAAGTGCGTCGG